ATATAACTTTTTGAATCTCATTCTACGCTCCTAAATATAGGTCAGCGTTGCGCACGTCCTTATCTGACACGCCATGTACAAGTTCTCATAACATTTTGTCCCTGTCTTCATCAATTTGATCTCACGCTGTACCACCTCACACATTGTGGAAGTATACTTTTTTTCTTTGGCTGAACAATGCTGTTCTAATACGGGCTCTTTTCTTGTTGGGCTTGGAAACTTGCCAATAGACCCACCCCAACCATTCCTGCTATTTTTAAAAAGTTAGCGGTTAATCGAAGTACACAACGATAATAAAGGTGTTGATTTGATCATCCGGAGTTATGTCAAACAAAACCTTTATGTATATATATCCTTACGATTATCTTGTATGGAAGAATGGCATTTGCCCCTTTTAATACGATGCGGGTAGTAACGAGCGCGTAGTGAGTTGTTCGAATTGAATTGTTACTAGGCGCAACGTAAGCGACTTCATTTCAGCCGGCGCTACGGGATTCTACATCGAGACCTTTTCGGCAATATCAAACACGGAACGACTTCTGCATGTTCCCGGCAATGAGGATATGAGTACGAGTCAAAAGAAGCTAGCTTTCTTCCATGGCGTAAGGTACTGCTATAGCCTTAATCGGATATAGAGCGACTAATCAACGCTCTGACAAATGCAAATAATCCACTTGTTTGCCCATTTATCTTCGTATCGATATATTATTTTACGTCACGGCGTAATTTATACTAGAGCCTATTATTATATAGCCTTAATTTCTCTATATTTTATCAAAGTGTTCTAATATTACCAAAAATATCAGGTTCATTAGTTCCTGTTGGATTATCCTCGGTCATGGTTATCTTACGATCGAGCCCTCTGCCACCGGTAAGCCCTTATCTAGTTTTCAATAACGTCATTATACCGTCATTGTCTAAGTACTACTATAATATTTTATATCTTTATAAGTTACGGATAGCTGCATATCCACAATTGTACAATCAGTGTCTAGCGCAACGGGCAGAAGTAGAGTTTCGCAGTATACATTTGAGGTCAAAAATTGTGTTAACGCTATTACGATACCGGAAAGTCGTCTAAACCGTAGCGGTGTCAATATAAATCTATGTAACCAGTGGGTGGTGCAAGCTTTTCAAGCTTAAGTTCATAGTAACTTCATTGTTCATAACATGATGTGTTGCCACGTGTTAAGGCGAACTGGGTCGCGCGATGGAGTTCGGCCGCAGTTGGTTTTGGTGTCTCGTTGGTAACGCATATCCTGCCGTACAAACTTTTTTGTATATGAGGTAAGTTCATTTTCGAAACTCCGCTAAAGATTTATGAGACTCCGTCTCGAGTACGTCCGCAGGAATTTTTTGTTTGCTTTTGCAAAGATTACTTTGAAAAGGAGGCCGCTAATATTTGGGGCTTGTCTCACACATAAAGTTGCAACGGTGCTAATTTTCTGGAAAATTTTATGTTTCCTATCATTTAAGCCATCTAAAATTGTTAATTTACAAAATGTTGTCAATGGAAACGATGTGATATGTTTTGATCGTAACATAGCGTTTTGAGTGTTAGCAAAAAAATGAAGGTCGTCTGAAAAACAAACAACGTAGGATTCCTTACGTGTAAGTCATTCCTAACCTAGTTCTATCGATGCATTTTCTATGAATAATTCCTAACGTAACGACGAACTAATTAAGTGCACAAAATTATCTCTATTTCATAGTGGTCTCCTGCTGGCCTACAACTATTTGCAGTTCGAGCAAAAAAAGGGGACGAAACTGTCACTTCATCATAAAATTGTTATTCTTCTATTACGGAGGTACTTTGTGGCATATTGCGTAACTTGATAAATATGGCCTAAGCAAACAATGAGTAAATAGTATGAGATGTATGTTGAGGAATAAAGGAGTGTGTCTTCAACTCTAGCTTGATAACGAACTTCAGTTTCGTAGTCCTTAAGTTCTCAAGGCATATATATCTATATATACATATAACAACAAAAAACATATATATATATATATATATGCCCCTATTCGTATTGATGCCGTTACTTATTCAGTTTGTTTAACGAGTTATGTTCGAGAAAGAATATACATCTATTTGTATCGTAATGTTTCGGGAATCCCCTAACAATCTGTCTTAAAAAGCATGATATTAGCACTTTCAAAGTGGACTAAAAGAAGGCATACATGCGCAAAGGATAGGGCTTTTTACGCGAAGTGGCTACATGTTTTAATACTACAAAACTATTACAAAAGCGCTCAATTCAATATAAAAATGCAGGTCCAATAGAAATTTTAAGATCAAACATTTTAATTAAAAGGAAGAAAATGTTCTTATTTTGATCGAAATGGACTTGAGTCCTTTTACACGGAAATGTCGTTCGTATGTTGCTGGGTCTTCAAAGAACGACGCAGACCGGCAAGAGACTGACTGAAAATTAGAGGTAGCACGCTGCAATATTTTTACTGCGTATTAGGGACAAAAAAAAAAACGCGAAATCTATTAAAGTTATTTCTGTGTATGTTAAAATGTAGTTAAATTGTATTGATAAAGTTGGCTAGATTTAGCATTCTATTTTAGATATTATCTATTGTTTAGTCCTCTGTAGGGTTAGATCATTTTCTGGTTACACTTTTGGTCTTCATGGTTACAAAACGTGAGTGATCATGTTTCTGACATAATCTGTTTGAAAATATTTATGTCTGTTTTTATAAACACCAAGATATATACGGGTAACGGCGCCGCTAATGTTCGTCCTTGGATGCTGGTTGCTTGTTCCATTGATGTTCGATGGACCTTTGCAGGGTTAGTGACCTAAATTCAGTTTGGGCATCGGAACATTACAGGATTACGTTAATTTCTGGGTGGTTTGAAGAAAAGTCTCTTTCCAGTTGCAGAATCTTCATTTCATATCTGGTAGAGTAGCAGCAGATACGCAAATTATTGCAATAAATAACATATTAGCGGAGCGCTGGCCACGTTACATGGCCTCAGTTATAGCAGACGTATGTTGTTTATTAATATTATATTTCAGACATTGTCGAAATACACAATTGGTATTAGGGTGCGTTTTTCAAATAAATGTATCATTCGTTCGCTATTTCAATAGCTTGCGTGTCTCTTGCAATTTCAACAAACGTGCAACGAAGATATCTTCAACTGGTAGAATACTTTTTCAGAGGCTTTTTTAAACCGTGCTAAAGCTTTCGCCTCACCTTCTCTATATTGTACTTTTGAATACGTTTCCATTTAAAGTTGTGCTAATTCTATGCTATGATTACTTTCAAGTTGAAAGGACAAGCGTATGTTGAGGCTATATCTTGCCTATGGAAAATCTTCTATTTCTACGGTCAATAGCTAAAACCATGAAGAAACAAAAAGGTCTATAGACGTACTGACGGAGCACAGTGTTATGTCCTTCTGTTTCAGCTGAGCACTACGGACCATTTTTTGAGACCTGTCAACGCAACTGGTGGAAGGTTTTGCTACATATCAACAACTTGAGTGACTTCTTCGACATGGTACAGGCTTTTTTCGCCATATTCCAGTAGTTAGACAAATTATAGTAGTTTATCTGTTTTACACAACTTTGATTCTATTCATCTTTGTCACGTTTTGCTTTGCAATTAGCGTGTGTAAGCCATACATCTATTTTGCTTGACCTATATATATTGTCTTTCTATATACATAATAACACATGTACCAACGGATGCTTTAAGAATGCGAGGTCATTGTTTGTTGAATTTGTACGCAATATCCAGTTTCAAAACAGCTCAATTATGGAAAAAAAAAACTGGTATTCATTAATAGTATGAAGGCTCATGTCCGTATATAAAAAACATATCCTAAAAAGCTCACATAAAATTCAATAACATGCCTTTTATGCGAATTGTGACGCAACTTCATTAAGTCATCAAGCAGGCTGATGTAATTTATTAGCTGAATGTTGGCCAAGAGAGCTCAGGGGGGTCAAACGCAATGTTAGAAAATATTGAAAACACAAGTATGATGCAAGGCCTAGTTTCGATCAAAAACAATGATGCGACATGGTCGGGATTCGAACTAAGGGCCTTTGTCTTGTTAGGTCAGGGCTTTAATCGCTTCTACCTCCTGAATGCTATTATAGTGCCTACAGCATACGTGGTACGTAGGGGTCGACTGGCAAATATACATGGTTATATGTGTGATTCCTATACTGTTGGCAAAAAGGCCACGACTGGCACTTTTCATCTCCGCGGCCCTAATCGGTGTTACATCAACAATTGTCTTCCTGCAGGTAAGGAATCCAAGTACGTTCTACATTTTTATCGACCCACTGCCCGAAGCAAGTATTAGACTAGAACATAAGTAATGGTGGTTTTTTATGTCTTCGCTTTATTTCTATTTTTTCAGCGTTCGATTACTTTTACGGAACATTCAAAAGTGCTTCCGTTCCTTGCTCTATGTGACCGTCGTCATGTCATTATGCAGCAAATAGAATTCCACTTCGAGTTTAGGCTCCAACGAAAAATGTTTCTGGTACTTTTTGTACATCTACTGTATTTCTGAGACAGTTATTTCATGTGTGGATACCATGAGCAAAGGTACTTTGCGAAGTTCAATAATGGTATTATGAAACTGAAGGATGCACCACTCCCATATACGTCCTATGCGGTGGCTAAAAAAGCCCTTTGAAGAAAAAACGGCTTACAAAAAACTAGCCAATTTGTCTAGAAGGTGAACTGCAATCATGTGACTACCGACAGGCAGGGATTTTGAATCCATGTTTGTCTAAAAATCCATAAACTGAGTGAAGGTCATAAGGAAACAGGATTTTTTGTTGTTTTCTGAAATGATACCTGAAAGCTAGCACATATGGGTGGCTAAAAATGGTGTCTCCACGTCGATATAAAGTAGAGAAGGAAAAAATAGCTTTAGGGGGAAAGCTAAACTTAAGACTAAGCCAGATTCTCATCCTATGAATAACATAGTTTGCGTTTTGCAGGACGCTCTTACGCATTGGGAAAAAGATACGATCAATTACAATTTGTGTATAGCTAAGTTGCATTGATATGTATATCAGTAGTGACTGGGGCTCGGTAGAGATGGCCAGAGTCGTCAAGCGCGCCCTACAAGAGCTTGAGTGGAAGGCTCTTTTCTCATTCTGGTTACTGGCAAATGGGCTTCGAACTGGCAAAGCAGTGCATTTGACGTTACATAGGGTCTCAAAAATTGGGCAGATGAATCCATGAAGACGACACCTGAAAATTTCTGGCAAGACGAGCTAACTAAATTGATTGACTGATAAGAGAAGCTCACAAAGAGCAATGGCAAAGACATAATAAATTCATTCACTTTTAGACTTCAAAACTTTTAGACTTCAAACGGAGGGCTTGCGTTTTTGTCATGTGAAAAAACGTCATTACCTATGTTCTCAATTTAATACATTACTTCCGTATAGGAAGTAATCGTTTAGTGACAAGGCTGTCTATTTTTTGAAGACTACAGCTAATCATCCCAAGCTGGATCGTGAAGAACTGAAGTTAGTCAAAATGAGTAATGCACCAAACAAAAAAAAAAAGCATTGCACCAACATGGTACTCGGTAAATGTTTATTAAATGGTTAAAAATGATTATTACAGCTCTTTTAATCTTAGTATCAGGTGTTTCAATAGGTCTAATTTAACTTTATTCGCTATGTTCATGGCGGCAACTGCTATTCATTTAAAAACATACATTAATCATCTGCAACGACGAAATGTAATTAACTTCATATCTCTGTTTAGCGCCTTCACTTCGCTTATTATATATTCTTTGTGATAAATCCCTACCGTGCCCTATGCGTTTTGTATTTTTTGAGACTTTGTATTTTGTTTTTGAAATTGTGTATATATTCTAATTTTACTCTTACATGCCCACCGATATGAATTGCGACAAACAGAAAATCTTGATTGCAGGCCTACGTGAATTCCTACCAGCCGGTGTCACTTTATACACAGCCTCAGATCTCGTAAGTGTGCAACAAAAACGTTTCTTGAGGTTTCTTTTTTACCTTAAGTTGGTTAATCTTTAGAATTTTTTCAGTGGTCTTCGGCTCACGATGCGGCCGTTCGAAATGTTCCTCACGAAACCCCCTATTCTGCTAGTGGCCTTTATACAATATAACTAAGCTAGCTTTTGCTGTTTTTTATGGTTCGACGTGGGTCTGTGGAAAGTAATGTGCGTGTCTGCAGCGTCAAAAATTACCGCATTTCCATATTTTTGCTAGCTAATGCAATAGGACAAAGTTGGTATTTGAGTATATAGGTCTGATTTGTTTCTCTTGAAGTAAACTAATTTCAGCTCCGAAGAACTAATAGGTGCGTCAGAAAAGCATCCTAAAAGCTTTTTGATGCGCTCTCCAAAATCGACCTTTGCTAGTTTATTAATCTCTAACGTTGTATGGGTCAGAGCACTGAGACGGATGACCTGATTTACACAGCTGATACATGACCGTATTTAATTTCATCCTCTAGTATCTCTGTTGACGTTCGTCACACGAATACCGCAAGCAAAGATTGGACGAAAATCGTTACATCCTTTTTTATCTGAAATCATCAGGGCAACTATGGCAATGATGAAAGCGATCTACTACAAGCCGCACGCACACGTTGCCTCATATGTAGTCGGCGTCCTTATGGGATACTACCTTTTTGTAAAGGAACAGCTCGCTGGTTGCGGAACGACTCAAACGGCAATGCATAAATCCGCCAAGGTTTACAGAACTACAAGCATTAAGAAGGTGGGTCCGAACTCCGAGGACTCCTAGGCGGGGCATATGGCCCGGCCAAAAAGGTATCAGTGAAGATAACATTGACTAGCGTGAAATTGTTCTTCTCCGTTATCATGTAAAAGGTTGATTTGATTTAGGCAAGTTATTCCAAAGTCAACAAAAAAGTAATCTTCGACAATCACAAGCTCAGTGTGACTATGTGACTACGCGAACTATACTGCTAACGCACATAATCCTAATACAGTTTAGAGTGATTCTGAACTAGACAGTATAATTTCTATTAAGTCAAATTAATTTGTGGTTGATTCCTAGTCGGTTTCCATTTAAATCAACATTTGTACATATTTTGACAAACATCGCATAACACAAATCAAGTATTAGTATTATTATTTTTCCTTTATAATAGTATATTTAACTTTGTCATATCGTCTAAATATCTGTTTTAGTCGGTGCGCTACTTCGGATGGGTGACGTCTACCGGAGTGGCTCTTGCCGTCGTATTTGTCCCATACAAATGGTAAGTTCTTAGTAAATATAGTTTTGTCCCTGAGCTAACGGAAAGAAATGAGCTTTTATAAAGCTTTAGTTGTCACTTTGTTACAGGTATCTCAATGCTTCAATCAATTATTGATATACCCACATATACCCCATAACTCCTGTGCTTCTCTTGCTTCTGGGTAGTTCAATTGAATTGTTCCGTTTTATATGATAGATTCATTTGTACTTACTCGTTTACTAATTTACTAGCCTACGATCAACTGAACTAATCCCCATTTTGGGCATTTATAAAAGAAAAAAAAAAAAAAAAAAAATCATCGATTGATTATCAGCCTATTGATTGTCAAAATATATTTATTATGGCAAAAAAATAGATGTTGCGTATAATTAAATTTCGTATAATAGGTTCAGTGGCGCTCCATGGGATGGGCTGGACTCGGCCTTGTACGCAGGCTATTCAAAGTTTATGTGGTCAGTCATGCTGTGCTGGTTGACGCTTGTTTGTGCTAATGGATATGGAGGTACGCATGTCATCAATAAATTGGTAAATTCTACAAAAGCTTTTTTGCCTCATAACCACCTGATTTTTGCTATTTGTTTCAATCAAGCTTTATGATGTTATAGATATTCGGTAAAAAACCTTTTTTACCTATGTAAAAAAAATTTAATCACGATACGATGCTTTCTGCATTGCACTTGCTATTTACGTTCTAGTGCTGGGAACTGAATTCTTTTAACATAAATGTATGTATATGTATTTAAGATTGGTCAACGTCCCATTACCTCGTTGTTAGGAAAGACTCCATTCAAGTCCTTAAGCTGTTTTAGGTTTACAGTTATACTTAGAATTTGTCCGACGTTTTTCAATCTGGGCATTTTAGGAGACCCCAGTGGATGTTCGAGCTTAAAATTGGTACCAAACCCAGTCGCATGGAGGATTCTTGAGACTGAAACTTTTGCTACTGCGTTAATAATAAGGTCGCTGTTTATGATAGGCCTGATAAAATTAATCTTTCACTTAAGTTTGTGATAGATACGAAGTAGGTTACCCGCCTCATTCCTATGTAACTGAAAAGCTAATGAATGTCCTTATCTCGTTCTTCTTGCGCAAAGGCCCAGTGAACGCGTTTCTTTCATGGCGTCCTTTAGTTCCTCTCAGTCGACTTACCTATGGAGCGTACCTGATTCACTCTCCGCTTTATCTCGTTCGGGCCGGCATCCTCAGGGAACGTTTTTCAATCCAACACTACCATCTAGTAAGTATCAATTGAATGAATGTACCATTCGTTTGTCATTAGAAGATGAAATTCTGATTCTAATTTTTTTTGTTGTTTGCAATGCTAATTTCTCGGTGAAATATGCCGTAGAAAGTCTACACTCATTATATATTAGGTTCATTGCGATTTAAAGTATCATTAGGGTAATTACACAGTAAACATACACATGGAGGGCACCAAGATAACACCGACTAGTGTAATGAGATAACTGCCACTCGGGAGGGACCCACTTTAGAGGTAAAATTCCGACTGTGTAAGTGTGCGCTTCAGGTTAGACTAGGTACAGCATGGATCAAACAAATTGAGGAATCAATGGCGGGATTTTTCTATTCAAAGATTTCTAAAGGAGAGTAATGAAATTGTTGCAAGCAACTGCACTGAAAAAACTGCGACAGGGCACTGTTGACCTATATTTGAGGTACAGTTTATGTTAAATTGAATGGGGCGTCACCGAACCAGATTTTTTAAAGCAACAACGAAACGAAAGGGGAGCAAGGCCCATAAGTCTAGTATGTGATTCAAAGGCTTATGATGATCGTAAGATAATGTTATTTAATAGTATTATGATTTCACTACTTACCTTTTTAGGTGATGGAGTTTTTCGGCTGTGTTACAATGGCATACCTTTTGGCGTTTCTAATGTACCTCGTATGTGAAGCTCCTGTAGCCCGACTAGAAAAGCTCGCATTTGAGGGGCGACGAAAACCACAGAGAACGCGACAACCAGATGGGGGCAGCCGTGTAGAGGGTGTACGTCTATAATACTGTTAAAGACATTGTAAAATTTTAGATAAATTAGATAGATAGACAGCACAATCACTACCAGTCAACACCATTAAATCGTGTCATGCAACGAGACACACTGAGTGTGTGTGAACGACTGGTACCATAAAGGATGGTTAAAATTTGCAATTCTTTAAAAACAAAGCGTATTTTATATTTAGAAGAAGCGTCTGTTTGTCTAAACGATCTTATTTATAACGTGTAAATTTATGACAATACGCTTGTTTCATTCCTCATTACTGTCTTTCTTTTTATTTTTATGTTTATATTTTTCCAAATACTTTGATTTTCTTAGTCGTGCGATGTTTATGTAAAATTTTAGTACGTTTTCGTCTTAATTGTTCCATCTTTAGGAAAACTGTAGATTGAATGTAATATGTATGTATAGTTGACTTATTCCTGTCAGTCATAGAAACCCGGAAATATATGTAGATGTACAGCGTGAATCGCGTCGCTTTTAATTTAATACAATGTATAAATGGTTATATGTGTGTATATATATATATATATATATATATATATATGTCTAATATCAACAACTGTTTCCGCGTAGATCGCAGTTAAAAGATAGAAAAAAAAATTAATAAAGCGATATACGCGGTATCTATTGTTATTTTTTTAGTGAACTAGAATCTTTATTGAGGATATTTTCTTGACATAAATGCCGTATGGCAGTTCACGAAATTTAGTCCCAGGAATGATTAAAAAAACAAAGGACAGCAAAGGATGCAGAGTAGGGTAGTCACGTCATGCAGGTACAATGGAATCGCAAGCGTTTGCAGGGGCATTCTTATCGAATATTTTCAATTTGTTCTATTAAATATCCACATGAAATCAATAGCTTATTATAGTACACTATAAAAGTGAAAAATTAATTCCAATATAAATGTGTTTAAATCAATTCTTAAAGTGGTATAAACGTAAAGTTTCCTTGGGGATCATTGCCCGTGATACGTTTACGCTGTGGCAAAAACAGTTCACCGAAACTTGTCTTCAGAAAGATCTAATCAGGGTTTGACGATAATCGCCCACAAATAATGACCCTTGAATTTTTTTATTTTGAATTTAAGTATAAAGTTACGTGTCTGTCAAGAAATATGTTTTTTTTTTTTGTAGTCTTGCGTTGTTAATACGCCACACATGAAGTATTCTTGGTTTTACTTTATTTCCTGTCACTTTATAAACGACTACATAATAGGACATCACACGTGCGATACGTTTCCATTGTGACACGAGATGCTGAATTTTCACAAAGCCCTTGTTTTTGCATACGGTACTCATGCGTTTCCGTAAGGTTCAGGTTTAGATCGGCTCGTGTGTTTTAAAATAAACAATTATCACGTTATTATCAAGCCAATGCTTCGTTATGTACCTAACCGTCAGCCCTTCTCCCTTGCAGTAAAAGGGGGTGAAATACGAAGCCGTATTCCTTCACACACACACGTACACAGCAGGACGCGGCTTAGTGTGCACTAAAGAAAAATTACCTGACATTAGTTCCCGTTTAGCCGTCCACTAAATGATGTCAGAGAGGTGGGCTGGCTAGCTGGCTGTCGGGACTTGACTAGAGACATCGTACAAGGCCTTTTTAAAACGAGATGGCCATCAAGTTGAGGCCGACGGACGGTAGAACGGTAGAAACTCAGATCTGACATTCTGATGTTAACTCCCTCGGACTAGGAAAACTACCCATTTGTCTGGCATGCGACACTGTTGGTCGCACCCACACCTTCATATACCGAAGTAATACGAAGGCAAAGGTCGGTTGCGGAGGCTGCCTGTGCGGAAGCCATTAAGATGTTCCGCGAGCTAAACATAGGCGCAAGATTCATCACAACGTTCACAAGCTCGTGTATTCCAGCTAGATGGCACCACCCTTGTTATAAACCAAATAAATGAAGGCCACCATCGCTTTTAAAGATCACAGCGTCGAAACTACATGGCTTTACCTGGAAACAATAATATAGAGCCTTGAAAGAGATACTCATTAAACTCAAATGAAGTAGTTCATTTAGTAAGTTTCAACCCATACAAAAAAAGAGTTACTTCATAACACTACCTTAAACTCTCTGCCAGACATTAAGTGGTAGCGAATTAAAGTTGCCGAACCTAAATTTTTCAAAACATAAGCGGTGTGGTCGAGCGGTAAGGTGAAAGGTGGCAGCAGAACAGGCCGCCGGTGATCCGCTACTATTAACATCAATGTGAGCAACCGTCAGACCAATTTATAAGTACTTACGTACACATGTGTCTAGCCGTCTCCGTTCTTTTTTCACTTCACATTGAAAAGAGATGAGGTACAAAGCTCTGCATTCGAACACATATACATGGATCGGCGTGTATTATAAAAGGAATTAATAAACGGTACTCATCGGTCTGCCGTCCATGATACCATAAGTGATACTAGGGGATTAGGCTAGATCCTCTTTCAGGGTTGATCGATAATGGTATAGCGAGATGGTGTACAAGACTGGAGTCTGAACGAATCATGCATGAACGTTTACTGTTAGAATATCGGTCTTCCATCAAAGTGCACCTAGATCAGTCTTGAAAGCTATACACGTGTTACACAGTGATTAGTTGCGACTACGCACGTAACCCGGCCTGTTTGTGCGTACTAAATGTATGTATAACTTTATGCACGATTGGCTAATAAAGTGTGACCCACTTAAACGATTGCATTGCATTATGTGGTCGCTTAATATTTATTTAATACAACTTTAATTCAGTTGTTTTGCAAAATAGAGAAGCGCCTTCCAGCGTGTCGACTTTCACGATATGGTAGTATACCTCTGGTGTCTGTCTATTCTGCTCTAACAAGCAACAACGTCGGCAGGGAGGTACTGATGCTTCCCTTCTGCTTTTCCCCGAGTAAAGAACACATAAATCGATAACCGTAACAGTTTGCTATGGTTGAGGAATTCAGTACGAAATGTTTTCAAGCATGGCCATTCTGCTACGCAGCATAAACGCGACAAATTTGTCCGCTGTCGTTAGAGAAGTTAACAAGTGATGCGCAACCACCCGAAAAGATCGCATACTACTTCCTCTAACTTATCTGCAAGATTTGACTTAACTCGTTTGTTCTCTTGTATATATGTACTACATGAAAATAGATTAAAACTCAACAGTGAGTTCATGCTAAAGGTCAACTTGAGCCACTTTACGTGTTATTTCGCTCTGCGGTGGCTTAGGTACCTAGGTCGTCGGTTGGAAAGGCCAATGATTTCTTCGAATTTGCACGCACACACGCACACACACTATCTGTCCGGACGAAACAAAAACTCGAGCGATTAAGCAAGCGCGTAACGCAATAAAGAATCAAGAAGAACAAGAGTTTATAATGGTCGGCGCCTAAGAGGCGGCAACTTATTTATTTCACAGGACAACAGACATATACACACACTTCAGCTAAAAACAGAAGCCCTTAACGTTGTTGTAACTCATTTAGCGTACCTGTTGCAAATTGCTAGTTGGGCATAAATTAGCGGAGATAGAAACTGTAGCCGATCCTTTGTCAATGGTCAAAAGTGCTAACCTCGTGACCGCGTAGGTCGCACAAATGCTATGACACACATGAAAAACGTCCAGTAAACCCTTGTATTGCGTTCCGAACGCACCGAAAATAACATACGCTCGAGCTGCGATTGAGTTTTCTACATTTACCACGCTATGAGGTTTCATGAACATCAATAACGGCGGCGCATGACATTGAATGCGAAAGAGTCAGCCGCGCCATCCTTTGAGTTCACTTGAAAGAGACGTTCACTGTTGGCTGCAGATGACAAAAGGCAGCGCTTCAACGATTATGCGAGAATGTCTTCATTTGAAAACCAGCCAATGAAAAACCGTGTTCGAACTTGAGAGTAAAAGGTCGAAACTTCGAGTTAGGTCACATATTGTTAGTTTTCCAGAAATTTGTTTACATTTGCAATCCAACACTTTTATTATAGGGTACCGATGCGATCGTCTTCGACAAACATCAACGACAAGACGCGTGTCTTTCAAATCAAATGAATGTTTTTCATCGCGGCTTATATTTGTTATACCTGTAATTTTCTTACAACTATACCTTACACTCGCACCTTATTCCGTTACTATACGTTTGTATAGCATGTCAAAAAGTCATGAGCCTTTCAAATCACTTCAAAAAGTGATTAACTTATCCACAAAATAGGTCTTGACCTAAACTGTTGACTAAGCATACGGTAGCTCGCGCTCTAGTACACGAAGTAGCCTTTCCAGGCACTTGAACGAAGTAACCGAGGCGCTCCTTCTATTCCCTTGCCTAGAAGAGCCACTGCAAAAAGTTATCTATACTGGTCTGGGCAACAGTTTTTTTGTCTGAGTGCTGAATAAGCTCCTGGATTGCAACAAGGATCGTTAAGGATAATACTTAGATTATTAATAATAAAATCGTTGCCGCGCAGTGTTTCCGAATGAATTTTTTCAAGTCCACATTTGTAAACAAGACAAGGAACAAACCCTTTGTGCAGATCGAGTTGTGTACTGAGGATACATATATATATATATATATACACACACACCATAAAAACCAGAATTACAAAATAGTGACGTAAAAAGTTCGACAGATAGGTTAAGTTTTCTAACTGTTATTAATTGGACGTAAAATAGGCAAAGAAAATTCTTTCTAAGCACCATATATATGTCCACATCTCGAAGTTCGCTTCCTACCTTTTTAGTGAACCGAAGGACACGAATTAATCGTAAACATCGTACATTTCCCTCTTCGTTCTCAGCATCGCTAATGTTGCTAAATTCGTGTAAAGCCGTTCGCCTAAGGGCAACTGCGAACAGGTGGTCAAAGTTTGGACCATAGACGACATAAATTCTAGTAATGGCCTAGTATACTGCTACGGCCCGATGCTGAGCTGAATACAGTTCAACCATCATCGAAACGTACCGGCCGATACGGACTAATGCTAGCTGAACTTTTACAGAGAAAATAAATCTAGCTTATATAGATGAATATTGTCAGTTTTTTTTATATAGTAGCAGCTGAATTGCTTTTTTTGCGCTGCGGAAGAAAAGCCGAAAAACAAATTGTACGTTTTAATAACAAATTACGAAGACATTAAAGTGGTAAAACATCGATTCAGGAACTTACCTGAAAAGCAAACTTAGAACATCGACCCGAAAGAAGACTTAGAACATCGTTTGTCATTGTTGAAAGTGTTACGAAACCGAAGGCCAAGTTATTTTTGATAATCCGTTTCCTATAACAGTTTGCCTGCAGAGTACTCTCGAATCGACGCCGTAGGACAAGCTGCACAACCTACGTATATATGATGTTTTCGGGCTTCTTTCAAGCGTGATAAAACGTCAACAAACAATTTCGCTCCCTATTGGCAAAAGCCGTCAACAGACTATATCAGTAATTTTCTTTTGTTGAAAGCATTAGCTCTCCACGAAGCGAAACTCTAACTGTATTGGACCGCTCTTTTGTATCATTTTGGACCGAAAAAGGAAGCCATGTAGCTATATTCATGAACCTTTTAGGAAACGACAATAGAAAAGCAGAAAGTGTGCACTATATGTAGAATGGAAAGTGCAACTGAGGAAAAAATGTGCCAAATAGAGGAACACATATAATTACTAAGACTTGATCGGCGATTCTGGAACAGCTGGGTACCTTGCATCACTGAACACTTTGCACCAACGCATGTAAGAAATGCACGAGATCGCAATTAACCGTACATTCTATCTCGCACAATTTTTCTACCAGGCGCGACCTGTATAGACAAGACTCGAACTCTAGTTCGAGTCTTTTCTATACAGGTC